TAAAGCTCTTTATAATATTTGCACAATTTTTTATATAAATATTCTGTTTTGAAGCTTGAATTCATTATTATGCATTTAAAAATTATTAATTTAAAGTTTTTATATTTCAATCCCAGAAGAATGCATTTAATCCTCTTTAATTACGGACAAGCATTTTCCACAGGGAATGCTTTAACAAATTTTCTCTTTATCTCGATTTTGGGAAACTGATTGATATTCATAACACATTTTCGAAATTTTGCTATTAAATAAGTTTTCACAGACTTTATTGACGTTTGTTTGCCAAATTATTATTCAGCATAGAAGAAATTTTTTGGATTTTAATAACGACATAAAAAAAATGTGGAAAATTCTGTTAAAGGCTTCTTAATACACAGAAAACGTTTTTTGTTCTATATTCACTACTTAAAAGAAAAAAAATATTATATTAAGGCTCAAATAATTTTGGCAAATATTGTGCTTTATGGCATGTCAAAAACCACCTTCAACTTCAGTTTTTAATACGTACACCAAAATTGTTACTCATACGCTACGAGAGCCTTTTTATATCAGAAGAGAAATTAATAGAAATTAAGTAAATACACAAAATATAAAACATAAAATAAAATATGAATAAAAAAACTTAAATGGGTCATGTTTTCGTATTTTTCTTTATAAATTTTTTTTGGGTGCTAGTAAAAGGAAATTTAAAATATTATTAATTTTTTTGTTATTACTAATTATTTACGGTTATGAACTGCAAGTATTGATTTTTTTTCTCTTTATGACCAACATAATTTCTACTTCCGGCCATAAAAAAGTTTTAACTGTGTATTTTTAAGTAGTTTTCAAAAACTTTTTTCTTCAGCGAACTAATAAACTATTAATAAGTTTGAATTCTGTTTGAGAAATTCTTTAAGGTCGTTTGATAATATCCTGTTTAAAAGGAAATCAGTAAAAAGCAAGAAATCAATTAAAAATTTTAAATAATATTTTAAAAGGAAGTTTCTTTGTAGTTTCTTTTTGAAAAAAAAAATTGTAAATATAATTGCAATCAAACTTTTTTATCCCTTATTTGATTTTACATTTCCACTATTTCACTAGATACAATTTATTTCATTGGCATTTGTTTTAATAAAAAAATATTAATTTTCAACCAATATATTATTTAGTCGTACTAGATTTTCGAGACCAAGCTCTTAAATGAAGCTACTCATTTCGATAAAGAGCGGAGCTTATGAGGATATTAATATTAATAAGGTAAAAGCCATGTTTGGTAAACTTAACAAGATCGAGTGGCTTAGTAATCTATCTTGTACTACGGCTGTGAAACATGGCTGCCATGTCCAGATATATATGTGATCATTTGTGTAAAGCAAATGCTATTAATTATAGCATGTTATATGTGAATGGAGAAACATAGCATTAGAATCGAATAATATTAACTGATGAAAGTATAGGTTTTCAGTTTTGTATCACACAATGAAACACAATACAACGAACCTCTATAATTCGAACTGTTACCTTCTTTAATTCGTCATAATTCTTCGTTCTCAGCAACTTCGATGGAAGTGTTAACAAATACAATTCGAATTATTGACATTCTATAGCTCTTAGTAATACTCAACAATCTTTTTATTATAAATATAAGATTTATAAACAATAAATCTTAATAATAAACAAGATAAGATTGTTAAGGGTTTAAGGCCGATTTAAGAGTTTAACACATAGCTTTTTAAATTTCAATAAAAGATTGAGCTGCAAGGTGGCATAGCTTTTAATCAGTTTGGGTATGATGTAGCACTGCAGGCTTAAATGTAATCGAGTCAATTCATCAAGATATTTTAGGTACAGATGTTCAGTGTGATGTGAAACTCTTAACATATGATCCCCAAGTATCAAGTAACGTGATTTTCCAGCGAGTGCTTGGCAAGAGTCGCTAACTTAGCTAATTTCAAAATACTATGATTGCCCACTTCCTCCAGTGGGGTATTAGGTCTCAATAATTTTTTTTCATTTGACTCTGTTTGATGTTTCTCTACAAATCTTTTTCCAAGTGTATCATGCTTCAACTGGCTCACTTTTGATCGTTATTCTCAAAGTTTTTGCTGGCGGGCTAGATCTTCTGCCACCTTATGGAGACCATACTAAAGCTTGTCTCGCTATGTAATTTCACGGCACTTCCACATTCTCGTCTTTATCTCAGTTTCTGCTGCCTTTTGATTTGTTTGGTTAAGCATGCTATTCTGCAGTCATTTGGTTCATTTAATAGTGAATCTGGACACCATATTTTGAGAATAGACACTGGGTGACAAACACTTTTTCTTTCTATATGTCTGTAGTGCTTCCAAGTTTTACAGCCGTAGATAGATGTCACATTTATGTTAAAGATTCGCAGTTTGGTCTACTTACTGAGTTTACTGGATCGCCATATGTTGTTAAGTTTATCAAACACAACTTTTGCATTGTTGATACGAACATTAACATCTTCATCAGTTCCGCTCTTTTTTGACACAATACTTCTCAGTTAAGCAAAAGACTTTAGGTATTTAATTTCTTCTTCACCATTTACATACAACCCGAAATTTTGGACTGCGCTGTATCCACTCGCAATGCATTTTGTTTTTCCAATATTTATCCTTAAACCGGCAGACTTGTTCGTTTATGGTGGATATTATCTGCAGTAATTCACCATGTTCACGATTTTACAGATGGACATCATCACAGTAAGACAACAATCCTGGTATTTTTTATTGCTCTGCTGAGGATATAATCTAGCGCAAGAATGAAAAGTAATGGTGACAGTACACACCTTGTCGCATGCCAGTTTTGTTGTGTAAAGGCTCTGCGTTTTGGAGACGTTGTGGTTTTTAGAATGTAAAATTACAAATTATAAGAAGGGGTGCCAAAAAAAATTGATTCTTGTGTTTGAAAATCATTTATTGTTCAAACAATTTTTCTCCTCTCTTGGTACTCTAAATATAAAGTTCATACTTTATTTGCATTATTAAAAAAAAAAACCATGAAATATCAATCGAATTACAATGATTGTATAATAAGTATTGACCAATTTTAATTTCTTTTACAGATTTGACTTTTATTTCCATTTAAGTTAACACATTTACATTGTGACCGAAAAGCTTTCGGAAATTCTCATTTAAAATTCGCGCGCTGTATATTTTTCGATATTTTAAGTTTATGTAGTTTGGCAGCACTGTCCTTAATTACTATGCCAAAAATGAGCGCGATCTGTCAGACAGTTCGTTTACGGCAGCTGTTGAAACCAGTTCACCTCAGTAGTGCGTTGCGAAAAAAACAATGGAAAAAAATATTGAACAAAGAGTTTGCATCAAATTTTGTTTTTCGAACGAAATTTCGTGTGCAGAATCGTTGCGAATGCTACAAAAGGCTTATGGGGAATCAGTTTTATCGAAAACTCAAGTTTATGAGTGGTACAAAGCCTTTCAGGACTGTCGTACGACCGTCGAAGACATGCCGCGTTCTGGACGACCTTCGACCTCTACCACCGACGAAAACATTGAAAAGGCAAAGGAAATCGTGTTCAAAAATCCTCATGTGAGTGTTAGAGAGATAGCACGAGAGCTAGGCATCGGTCGTGAGATGGCTCGTTTGATTTTGGTGGACAATTTGTGTATGCGACGTGTCAACGCCCGGCTTGTTCCGATTCACCTCAATTTGTTCAACATTATCAACGATTTTAAGGCCAAACATTCAATAAATACCATCGAACAGCCACCGTATTCACCTGATCTTGCACCGTGTGACTTTTTCCTGTTTCCCAACCTCAAATTACCACTCAGAGGAACGCGTTTTGAATCCATAGAAGACGTAAAACAGAATTCGCAGAGGGAACTCAAAGCCATACCGGAAAGCGCCTATAAAAATTTTTGATGATTGGAAGAACGTTGGCATTTGTGTATCGCTTCTAATGGAGCATATTTTTGAAGGAGATAAAATAAATATTGATGAAGATTAAGAATTTTGCGTTTTATTTATTTATTTCCGGAAACTTTTCGGTCACAATGTAAGTATAGTCAATAATGTGTTATAAGTTCAATATGGACAATATCTAGTATTGATTAAAAGGATCAAAAAATCACAAAATCAAAAAGATAAACTGAAGTGCTGCATTGAAGAAAACTTCAATAAAATTCGAAAATTGAAAATTTTTTTAAACCTTTAAGAAAATTATCTTCGCTGGTTATATCCAGTGTTTTAAATAGTAAGTTGCCTTACGATATATTATGAATGTTAATGCAATCTAAAAAGAAAGACAAAAATAAATGCTAAAGAAGAAAGACTTACACATTAGACTTAGAAGTAGAAACAAAGACAAATAAAAATTTAACACTAGAAAGTACTTATTCATCGCTATTATATCATATATTAGGTTATAAGAGCATACATCAACTACATTAAGATTTCAACTTCTCAATTTGTTAATTGTCTTATTACTGTTGATATAGGTAGGTACATGCAGTTTTGCAAAGCTTTTTAAACATGGTGATTTCTTGGTCCAAAATCCGCCTTTTTTATACTCGGTATTTCGATAAATATTCAAACTTTAAAATTGATATTTCTGCTTTTTGGATCATCTTCCAAGGTAAAAGCATGTTTCTATGATTCACTATGAAGCACAATATGATTGATCATTATTAGCTATTCTTAAAAACATTAAAATTAAAGCAAATTTTTTAAAAATTGATTTCGAGAAGATAATGCTACATTTTGATATATTTTTGTTGATGCTTTCAAATTAAAAAATAGTTAAGTGAAATTTCCTTCATTCCCTTCACTTCCCTTTATAGGAACAGTTTTGTTCATATAACTTTTTGGAACTCACTTCCCATATATTTGTTTTCCTAAAAATTCTTATTAGCTCGATATACACATTATCCTAATTTTTATACAATTTGTCATTTTGCTACAAAAATCTGTAATTTATTAGAAATGATAAAACAAAAGTAAACTTAAATAAATCTAAGAAAACGTCTGGAAAATTCATTGAATTTGCAATATTCCATGTGAATTTAAAAGACCACACGTACCGTAAATGGCGTGACAAAAATAGTTCTAATATTGCGTCATTAGAAGTGACATTTCCGAGATATTAAAAATATTCCATGAAATTATTTTCACTTTAAAGAAAAATCGCTATTTGTGCGTAAATTTCTACTGCAACGAGCACAGCCATTGTCAGCACATTTACAACACAGTAGATGCGTCGCAATGGACGTCGGCGGTGACGTTGACTGTGACGTTGATGCTTTCTTTGAAGCTGTTGCTGTTGCCGTTGCTGCTGTTGCACGTGCATTTTTTGCTGGGTACATTGTTGCAATTGCAATTGTTGCACTTCATTGCGTTCTGCTTCGATTTTGTTACCAGTAACGCTTGTCGAGGCTGCAGTTGACTTGTTGTCATTGGTGATACAGTCATCTCTCGCATTTCCAATGCAACAACACGGCCAATGTCAAACTGACGCCAATGATGATGTGCTATCATATGCCACAAGCAGTGAATCATTTTCATCACTGCCACTGCCAGCACTACGCTCGGATTCGTTTATCACTTCTAGTCTCGTTTGCGGCTGTGTAATTTTATATTTGTTGTGTCGCTTATTTATAAGAACGGATCGTATATTATTGTTACGTGGACGATGCACCTGACCATTGTAACGACGTTGTCGTTTATTGTTGCATTTGTTTGTCCCCAGCATGCTACAGTCGCTGGTATCACCTTCTTCATCATCCACTTCATCAGAATAATAATCGTAATCATATTCTTCTTCATCATCATCGTCATCATAATCGTCTTCATCATCAAAGTCAAAAAAGCAACAACCAGTTGGTTTGCGAGCCATACCGCCATTGTAATGAACCCGTCTCTTTCCATTGCTATGAGTTTTACCGCTCTCATCGGTATAGTATCCCGTGTTTAGTGTAGTTTTTGCCTGTGATTGGTAGAGTGAGATTTGATATGTTTGACTACTCGGTAAATGTTTATCGATAAGCTCTGTTTCATTCGCGTTATATCTTAGTTCAATTACCTCTGGTCCTTTCCAGGTAATTCCAGCTCGCACCAAATTATAGAAACGCATTACGCCCCACATTGAGAGTACCTAAAGTGAGAATAATAAAGGTTATTAGTTAAAGCTTTTAATAAATATTATTTAATATAATTTTTAAGATTATATTAAGAAAACAATATTTAAATTAGAAGAAAAAAAGAAATTTATTTGTATTTGATTTTTGTCTCAAAATTAGATAGGAAAATTAATATTCAATACAAAAATTCGGATCCTGAATATTTTTATCCCATAGCTAACTAATAATTTTATTAAAAGTGTAATAAAATCTATTTTTTGTTATCACACATATGAATTTTAAAGCATCACTATATCACATATAGAAATACTATCTTCTGCTCAAAAAGTATTTTGTTGTTTGTTAACTACTCATTAAGTAATAGACCTTTTTTTTTTTGTTATGTTGGCACACCCTTTCTTGACATATGGTACAAATTTGAGCGCCATCTGTAAATTAGTTTGTTTACAGCAGCTGATAATGTGAGACTACCTCAAGTGCATTTAGCGATTTTTACTATGGAAAATTCTTGTTGTACGCGATTTTTTGACCAAATACGGCACCACTGTCATCGCTAAGGCACCATATTCGCCAGATCTAGAGCCGTTGGACTTTTTCCTGTTCCCGAAACTCAAATTGCCCCTTCGTGGTAAGCGTTTTGAGTCGATTGAATCGGTAAAAGAGAATTTGCTGAAGGAACAAAAAGCTATACCTGCATGGGCCTACGAAAAGTGTATGGAAGATTGGGTTAAGCGTTGGCATATGTGTATCGCTTCAGAAGGATAGAAGCATATTTTGAAGGAGATAAAATAAATTTGGAATAAAATTTAAATTTGTGTGTTTTATTTACAAAATCAGTATATCTGTTCCTTAACAAAATATTCTTGAGAAAGAATCTATTATTTTCGTATATGTTGTGTGGGATTATTATTGAGTTTAAACTATTTTCTTTTGAATCCTAAAAAAGTCTTCTATATTCTTATATCGAGTTCATTCACATCTTAAAGTCTTCTTCACTGCAGTCCCTACATATATGACTTTTAACTTGAGTAGCTTAACAGTGCTTTCATTAATTACTATTATTATTTTTATTTTGTGCGGAAATACCATTCAAGCCACTAAAACGAGTTGCATTTTAACACTTGTTTGCTCATTTATGTACGTTAACCTCAATTTAAAAAGCCATAAATTTCGATTACGAAATGCACTGCCACTGCACGCCCAAACGCCACGCCCACTGACCGGTATTTGCAGTATGTGTGCAAAGGTGAAACATTAAGTGCAAAACTAAAATTACATACCACTGCATTGTAATGAGTTCACACTGTATACAAAGGATACCAAACTGGTAATTAGAGCACTCACACAGATACTCACCAAGACAAACAAACCTACTCATATAAGTATGCGTACCATGCTCTGCTTTTAATGGTTTTAATTGTAATTAAATATTTATTGCCACTATCGCCAACAAAGAATCGCATTGCGAGAACAATAGTTGGCTATTAAAAGGAGCTTGGGTTAAAAGTATGGAAGCAATTTAAGTCAACCTTTAAGGAAGATATATTTGAAGCATTTAAATGTATTGAAATATAAACATAAATAAGAAATCTTAAAGAAGTTTTTATAAATAAATTTTAAAACTCCAAAAAATTTATAATAAATTTTAAAGTTAATACTTGTTAAGATATACAGTATCAAAGAGTCAATATTTCATTAAGTTAAAGTCTCACATCTTCTTGAAATTGTGTATTCTCGTTGTCTGCCTCATGCTATAGAAAATATAAAATGACATACTAGATACTCTGCATGGTAAGACTATTAATTGAAAAAGTTGCTAACATAAGCTTAAAACTTTAAAATAAATTTAAATGTTGATATATATTATACTCAAAATAAATTTATTTTCTATTCACTGATACTAAAAAGATATTGCAATTGTGTATTTATAGCGAGTATGCTTTGCACAGAAATTCAACAATATTTTATATAAAAATAAATTAGAAAGTCATTTATTTAGTATTTTATTTATAAACTATAAAAAAGATAATTCTTTTTTTTTTAGAAACTTTAAAGCAATGAAATTTCTTCATTTTACCGACAGTTTCCTTGAGATTTTAGAGAGCCATTTAATTTTTTATTCACTATTTGCAATATTATAAAAGCATCTTTTCTCTGATGAATCGGTATTCTTTTAATCTAATTAATTTTAGTTAATAGTAAAAATTTAAAAATAAAGTAATGAAACTATATGTTACAATCCACCCATTGATTAACTTCGAATAAACCTATCTAAAGTACATCAACCGCATAGTACCATAACGGACTATAATTCAAGCACAAATGAATTTTGGTATACCATACAAGGCCGCTAGTTGAATCTTAACTCTAACTAAAATATATATTTCTGTCTAAGCTTAGACTATTATCAACCACTTTTTTCTATTTCTGCTTGTTGAAGTTTTAAAAGAGAACCTTTTTTTCTGATAAACTGATATTCATTTGATTAAAATATATTTACAATATAGTCAACAGTGACATAGAATGAAAATAATCACATGTGAGCAAGTTGTGATTTGCCTAGAGAGTATCGAAAACAGGCCTGATGTATATATGCATGCTTACTTATTTGATATATATAATTTAACTTATTTAGGTTAAAGAAAAGGCTATGTTGTCAAAGTGAGAATATTTGTTTTTCTTTTACAAGCCGTATTCGTTCAGAACGTTGAGCCATGATATTCTTCTTTTCTTAGGACGTGTGCGAGTTAAGCTAAGTTGCGTTCTAAAAGAGGAAAATTCTAAGTTGTGCCGATAATGTAGTGATGTGTCGATACGCGTTGATAAATGGCTAAATGTGTGCAGTGCAAAAAATCCCAAATAAACTCTCATTTGGTTTAGCATCAACTTAGCTTAACTCGCACACGTCCTTAAAACCGCATTCTTTTCAAATTGGTTTTTAGTTATGGTCTATTTAACTTCATCGTTTTTTTATTTGATGTCTAAGGATATAACAAAATTATTCTAGTTTTCGTCGTTTTGTTCTCTCCAGGTTAGAATGTTAAGTATCTTAAATAAAGCAAGAACTAAACAGAGATTGAATGACTACACTTGTCAAATCAAATAAAACGGCAATTTAAGTAAGAAAAACCAAACTATTTTAACAATTTAAATCAAATGACTGAAATCGTTACAAAGGAACTTGAAATAGATACAAGTGAACAAAATTAATTAATTTTGCCATTAACAGAAATATAATACAGCAAATTAATAAAACTCCAGAAAAAAGTGCTAACATACAAGTCAAGTACAGGTTTGGGTCAGTTTGCTAATGAATGCTGACTCTGAGCTTCAAATTTAGCAGGGCACAAGTTCAATCCCTGGTACTTGCAATCTCAAAATATTATTTATAAATAATTAAAAACAAGAATTATTTCCAAGTCCACTGATGATGGGTACTTGGCAATACTCGAAACATTTGTATGGTCAGCCAAATGTCAGTCTGATCTGAAATGAGATAAACACATCTTAACAATTCCTAAGAAAGGAAATTCGTTTACCGAAAAATAATTTCGTGAAGCCAATTTATTTACGAGATCGGGAATATTCGAGTACTTACAAAATAGCGCTGATATAATTGAAGGTACTTGCAAATAAAAACGCCGAAAAGTTTCCTTGACCGTTTACACTAGTCTGGAAGTGTTAATGTATATAGGTGAAGACGTGATTTTTTAATACCCAGGAGGAGTTAGGGTTATAGGAATACGAGAAAATTATATAAATATTGTAAGAAATAATTAAGCAGAGGCCTATTACAGAATTTTGCGCAATAGCGAGTTATATATTTCGTTCTTATTATATGGAGATGATGGATAGGGATTGTGTGCTTTTGCTTATTCTCTTAATAAACAGAATTGAATAGGATGTTCTTATAGTTTTGCAGCACAATTCATTTAATGAACGACTTATGTCGAAAGTCATAAATTATATTATTGCTCGTAAAAGAAACGATTGGAAATCTTTTATTTTTAAATTAATCTTATATATATAATAATAATAATAATATCATCTACTTAATGGTTCAAATCAAAAGAAAAAGTAAATAAAATAATGATACCAGTGTTAATTAAGTAATAAATTACATATTAAACAATAAAAAGCAATAATTATTAAATAAAATTGTATGAAATAATGAAGAAAAGTAATTAAACTTAAATTCAAAAAATAACATAAACAAATTATTATTCATAATTAAAATTTGATATTGAAAAAAGTTTGCATAAATTTGCCATAAAAGCAGAAACATTTTATTTTAACATTTTTTAAGTTTTATGACTCAAAAGAAATTTAATATGCAAATAAAAATATTCGCTCCAGTGTCGGTGGTGGTGGCTCGGCGAAGAGAACCAATAAATGCTTTACAACAGTTCCGGAAGCGGAAATTGATAATTTTTCATTTGCACATAAAGGCAAGAAAGAAATGCGAAAAAGTATAATTTATAAAGAAATTAATTAAGTTTTTTAAAAATGAATTTTATTTGAAAATTAATTTAAACCCATAATGCAATATTTTGTACTTAAAGAGGTAATCAATTTCTGCGCTTCTGCTGAGCTTGTAAAAATTATTTATATTTACGGATTGTATATCGTAATATAATCTTCACTTAATTTAATTTATATTAGTCATTTTTGTATCACATGGTTCTATAGTTTTAGTATTATTTTCTAGGGAGTATTATTTTCTAAAGGAAAATGAAGTTAATATGCGACATAATGATCAAATAAAAGATGAAAGAACAGTGCAATGTAAGAACAAATCGCAATACAAATGAAATACCAGAACAACGTAATGCCAAACTTTAAAAAAAATAAAACATGAAACGTACAATAATTTATAAGTTGGACTCAATGATAGCCTTTTCCGATAAGCAAACTGCAGAAGAGTTGGCTTGATAAAGAAGAGTTGGAATCCAACAAGCACTTTTTGTAGCTTGATGGAGTACTTTATTGAGCGACATACATAGTACATACATAT